AGACGTAAAAAAGATTCTACGTCGACAAAGGAATCTATAACTACATTAGATGAAATTTTCACATCAAATGAAAAAGGTTCAAAGTCTAAAAAAGAAAAGGAGACTAATCCTGAAGAACAATTTTTTAAGAATTTTCGTTTACGTCGTATAGTCAAAGAAAATCACGGGCATGACATAAATCAGCTGGCTTTTTTTTTCAATTTAACAAATTATGAGGCGCCCGTAGGTTTAGAATACAAAAAAGTTTTTAACAAACTTGGTCATGTCGAACGTAATATAAATGATTCAAGTAACGTTTTGGCAAGCGTTGGTAGTTTTCAGGTATATTTATATTATTTACTGTATATATGTTTACTGTATATATGTGTATACATGACGTTAATTTTTGAATTAACCGTAATTAGGCAAATATCTACGATAATGAGCACTGTGGTGATCACCTGGATATTGTATCCAATTTTGCTATTTGTGAAAATATTGATCTAGCCTCAGGCGTATGTTTACAATTTTCATACCTTCTTTTATTAATATTCGTAAATTAACGCGTTTTACGCATATAATAGGAACTATTAACTTGTTGTTGGTTGCATCGAGATGAAGATGCCTTGCTGGCTATTGCTGGAAATTCACGGGCTATATATATTATTAGTCTTGCCTTATCCATTACTTTAAAAACCTTGTGGGGGCATACTGGTATATTTCATATCTATTTGTCAAAATTTCATCGTTACTGAACATTAATATTAATGTGCAATTGTAGATGTCATCACTGATATTCAAAAACACCCGAAAGATGATCAACATATATTGTCTGCAGCAAAAGACGCAAGTGTGAGGTTATGGCATGTAGATAAAGGCACGTGTTTGTACGTGTTTGAAACTAGAGCTTCAGTAATTGTAAGTTAAAGTAGAAATAGACATCCGGATTTTTTTTTTTATATATAAACTCTGGTTTCAAACGGGTTTTATAAAATAATAAATCCGAATGATCATATAAATTATGAATGGATTAATGTTAAC